TTGGAATTTATGCCTTGGTTCTCAAGAAGTCCTTTGAAAGGTGGGGATATATATAACTCAATGAGAGAACACTTGCCTAGCATGCATGAGACACTAGGTTTAATCCCAGGATTTCAAACAAGCAAACCAACTGGTAAACAATATAAAACAAGAGCAGTACTTTGGTTGGGGAGTGTAGCTCAATGGTAGAGTGCTTGCCATGAGCTGGCTGCGGCAGTACTTGGACCGAGAACACTGCTTGAGAAATTGTTACAAAGAGAACCCACATTGTGTATACGTGTGTGTGCATGTATAAAAGCCAGAGGTTAGGCAATGTTAGCTATCTTCTTTTATTTTCTACCTTATTTTTTGAGACAATTTCTCACTGAACCTGGAGTTCACTGTTGCAGCTAGACCAGCTGGCCAGTAAGACCCCAGCATTTCCCTGCCTCTGCCCCTCAAGTACTGGGGTTAGATGTATACAGTCATGCCTGGCTTTTTGTTTTGTTTTGTTTTTCCAGACAGGGTTTGTCTGTGTAGCTTTGCGCCTTTCCTGGAACGTGCCTTTGTAGACCAGGCTGGCCTCGAACTCACAGAGATCCGCCTGCCTCTGCCTCCTGAGTGCTGGGATTAAAGGTGTGCGCCACCACCGTCGGGCCATGCCTGGCTCCTATGTGAGTGTTGAGGATCTGGGCTTAGGCTCACCTGCTTTCCTAGCAAGCACTTTGGCCACTGAGCCATCTCCCTGGCCCCCAAAGCCACACGTCAATGCCCACAGATGACCAGTGTGCATACTGGGAAACACTGACCCAGACAAGATAAATAAAAAGGTAAAATCAGACAGCTTCTGATGAGTAGAACACTACCCGCAACAAGCAGTAACGGTTAACAGAATTCCAACCCTGCCTTCCATACTTACCCATCTTCATAGTTCCACATGAATATGTCACTGTCAATTGTGAGCCAAGCTCTGCTGATGGGAGGAAAAACACCCATCATGCAGTTACACTGCATGTCTGAGGAGGCATGAATGTAAGGTCCACAGAACGCTGTTATTTTCTTTTTCAATTTGTTCAATAGCTTTTGACTTAAAACTTAGGATTAAAAAATGATCTCCTGGCTAGATGTGTCACTCGGTGATTTAGCGCTTGCCTGGCATGCATGAGGCTCCTGTCCACCCACATTCCTTCCTTTCTTCTCTCCCCTTTCCTTTTTTAAAAATGATTTTATTTTATTTTATTTTTTTTTTGTGTGTGTGTGTGTGTGTTCCTGTTTGTCTGTGTACCATGTGTGTGCCTGGTGCTCATGGAGGCCAGAAGAGTGCCTCGGAGCTCCTGGAACTGGAGTTACAGACAGCTGTGAGCCACCAAGTGTGTGCTGGGAATCTAATCTGGGTCCTCTACAAGAGCAGACAGTGTTCTTTACTGCTGAATTATTTCCAGCCGATATAGAAAGACTTTTCCTTTTTTTTTTTTTTTCCTGAGACAATCTCACTGTTAGCTCAAACTGGCCTGGGAACTGCAATCCTCTTGCCTTACCCTCACGATGGCTGGGGTTACAGGTATGTATTATCATGCTCACCTACTTTATTCCTTCTTTCCTTTCTTTTGAGACTGGGTCTCATTATGTAGTTCTGTCTGTTCTAGAACTCTAGTGTAGAACAGACTGGCCTTGAACTAAAAAAAAAAAAAAAAAAAAAAAAATCAGCCTGCCTCGGCCTACCAAGTGATGGAATTAAAGGTGCGTCCCACCATGTCTGACCCACGCTTATCTATTTTATAAGGAAGCAAATTACCCAGGCACTCTTTTTGAGGTAAGGCCTTATTATATACCCAGGTTGGCTGCAAGAGGGCCATAATCCTCCTGCCTCAACCTCTTGAGTACTGGCATTACAGATATATGCCAGCACCCAAGACTGAAAATTTGGGGGGAGGTGGGTAGTGAGGACTGAACAGCTGGGCCTCAGGCATGCTAGACAGATGCTCTACCACTGAGCTTTCTCTGTGGCTCGGAAAACTCTTAAGTAACTTATAGACATTATGTAAACATAGAACAGGAATTATAATAATGAAAACACTAATCTAATATTTATAAAATAGCTACATAAAAAACAATAGGATACGTCCAAATTGTTCAACCAGCTCAGGTGGGAGGGGCACTCTTCGGATAGTGCTGATCTCTGGAAGGCTGGGTACGGACAGCAAACCGGGTCCTTGCAGAGGGTAATCCATATCAGACATTCCAGAAACAGTGGGGCTGTCTACAAAAAAATTAAATGAAGCATTTATATACATCAGTAAGGTACCACTCATCAACTAGACTAGAAAAGCAATTCAAGCCGCCTCTACCCAACCCCACCACCAGCGTCTCCAAAATGAAGGAGTTCTGACCTGTTACAAAAGTAGACTTGAGAAATCCCATTGTTACAGGATGGGGCAGTCACTGGTTTCCATCATGAGGGAAGGTTATCAAGATTGGGGATGCAGTTCAGTTAGCGCAGTTCTTACCTAGCCTGCATGAATACCTGGCTGTGATTCCTAGCTCAGGAAAAACTGGGCCTAGTGGCATATGCCTGTATTCCTGACACTGGGGAGGCGAACACAAGAGGATCAGGAATTCAAGGTTATCCTTGACTACTGTTAGAAACCAGCACCAGTTACATTAGATCCTGTCCTAAAAACCAAAGCAAGGTCCAAACCAAACAATCCATTCTTTTTCCCTTTGGATTTCTCCTCCAGCCCAAAAGTAACATACAAATAGTACCAAAAATGCAATATATTATTGGGAGTTGGTGGGGACCACAGACTGCTCTCAATAAAGAATTCTTATTGAGCTTCTTTCTCTTGCTCTATGACTCAGAGCCTAGGGGCAGGAGTGGGCTGATCAACTTAACTTGTCCTTCAGGGCCCTGAACACTTTACCTGCTGATAACCCAATAATTCCATGCGCCTTATCAGGATCTAGTTTAGAATACACAGATTTTGGGGGAAACTGATATTAAATACTGACTACCATGACTGAATAATCACGGGGATGCCTCCCGCAACATGGTTCATTCACATAACTGTTCACTCCTCCATGGGATTCTTTTTCTTTTTTTAAAAGTAAATTTTATTCATAAAATACAATTTTGTTTGTTTGTTTGTTTTTGAGACAGGTTTCTCTGTGTAACCACCCTGGATGTCCTGGAACTCACTGTGTACATCAGGCTGGCCTCAAACTCAAAGATCCACCTGTTTCTGCCTCCCCAGTGCTGGGGTTAAAGGCATGTACCACCACTGCCCACACTAAAATACAATTTTAATACAACAATGCACCTATGAAATGAAGTAGCAATACAAAAAGGATGAATAACTTCCGTGAAGAAGAGAATATGAATGGTCAAGAAAACTTTCAGCTGGGTGGTGATGGCGCACGCCTTTAATCCCAGCACTTGGGAGGCAGAGGCAGGCGATCTTTGTGAGTTTGAGGCCAACCTGGTCTACAGAGCGAGATCTAGGAAAGGCGCAAAGCTACACAGAGAAACCCTGTCTGTAAGGAAAAAAAAAAAAGAGTATCAGAAAGCATGGACTCTGTATCTTGTGTTCCAATTAAAGGAGGACAAATTAAGATGATTGTGGCTAATAGGCCAAATACATTCTATAAGGCAAGGCCATTTGTTAGTGGCTGTCAAGTATTTTTTTTTTTTTCTAGTACTTGCTTCTGGTATTTCTGACTAAAAATCTCTCAAAAGATTTTTATAAATCGTTAGCATGTATTGGTTTACTTCACATGGATTATCCTGTTTAAATTACCTGCGTTTTTGCTCACCAAGTCTCATCTGTATTTTAACATTTCTCTGCTTTTCTCCAACTTTCACGTCCCAAGAGTCACTTTGTAGCAACTAATGCAATTCCACAAACCTTTAGCTGGTTACAATTTTTTTAAAGTTAAGGCAAATACTTTCCAGTTATCTCGTTCGTTGACAGATAGACTTTGTTCTACCCTCCCTGTCAGTTGGGCATTCTGACTCCTGTATTTCTTTACTGGTTCGTCCCAGCACTTACAAATATACTAACTGTACACATAAGACATGACTGAGAGAACACTGCAGATTCCCAGTTAACTCGTTTGCTTTTCTGACTGGCTCACAACTGACACAAGAAATGTACAAAAATGGAATCTGGATCAGAAGATTCTTCTCACTTGGATTCAATGAGCCTGCTCTTAACCTCTTCAAGTATCTCCAACGAACAAAGCTCAGACAAGAAAAATGAAAGGCGTTTGCTTGTTCTTAAAAAAAATAAATAAATTCAGGAAACCAAGCCCTACACTTTGAATGTCCTCGCAGGCATCAATACAGTGCTAAGGACTAAGGCAGAGAATCAGACTAGAATCCTCTAGGCGGGGAAACAGGGCGCCCCACGGGCCGGTTCACTCACTTGGGGCGGACACCATGAGCAGCTCCGACAGGTCTGGGTACATGCGGTCTTCTTGCAACTGCCGGTCGATAAGCCTCCCCGCGTTTTCCAAAGCTTCCTGCAGGGAGGCGGCCGACGACGACGCCGAGGCCGCCATCACCGAGCCCAGCACAGACGTCGGCATGCCGGCAACCGCGGACACCACGCTACGCAGCTGCTCCAAACCCGAGGAGACCCGAGCGAAGAGCCAAGAGAGTCCACCACTTCGCCTTGGGACGCGCGCGCCAAACGAAGCGCCGGGCGCCAGGTCATGACGCACTTCCGGCTCGTCCTCCCGGGGCCTGGACGACACTGTTTCAGGAACGGAAAGAGGAAGCGGTGGAGGGGGTTGGACGTTGGAGGAGGGAGCGGGGAGCGGGGGATCGGGCTGGAGTCGAGTTTGTAGATGGCCCGGGGGAGGAAGGAGGGGAAGGGAAGAGGGGAGGGGTCCAGAGGAGAGAGGGGAGGAAGGGGGGAGAGGGAGGAGGAGCTCCGGACGCCGGAGCGGGCCTGGGGACGCTGGCGGGTCTGCGGGGCGGCGGTGACCCCGTGCCAGCCGAACCCTGGCCTTGAGCCCCACCCCCCAAGTTGGAATGCGGCGGCGGCTGCCGTGGAGGAGCGCGCACATCCGTTACCATAGCGCCCTCAAGACTTCTGACCCCAGTTAGAAATTGGCCCCCGGTTCGGGACACAGGTTCCCCGTGAGCCCGAATTTTACAGCATTCCAAACAGCGGGGTAAATGCAGATTCCTTAGCGTTTTCCCCGTGTGCGTGTCTCTGGCATTGGCTTTGTGGCCAGTCATCGTGGCATTTGGGGTGGTGGTGGTGGAAGGTCAGGGAGGTGGGGTGTCTTTCGCCTCTAATATAATAATACTGTGTTAGGAGGCTGAGGCAAGAGGGTTGCTGGGAGCTCACAAGGTGAGTTCCAGGTTAGCATGGTGTACAGAGTGTAATTCTGTCGCGGCGTGGGGCGGGGTGGGGTGGGGAGATAGGTCATGCCTGTAATCCCGGAATTTGGGAAGTAGAAGCAGGAGGATAAGGAGTTGAAGATCATCCTCAGCTATGTCCCAAGTTTGTAGTAAGCCTATGAAATTTGAGACTCTGTCTCAAAAAAAAAAAAAATGTTGCTTTTGCTGCACACCTTTATCCCCTGTTGCATTGGGGGAGCACCCATATAATTCATACTACAAGGATTGATATAAAGTAATGCAGGCACTCAAAAGGCCATCTGGCTCTAGAAAACTGAATGTCTACTGTGTCAGGCATCATGCCTACTGTTGGGAATATCAAACTTATACACTTTTGTCCTTTGAAGCCGTTAATGGAAAGACAAAGTAAATGTGTCATGAAGTCCAGACATAGAGGTACACACCTCTATTGGAAGCCAGCCTGGGCTATGTAGTGAGACCTGTCTCAGAAACAAAAAGGAAATGAAAATACTGTAATGGTAGGCTCCGTTGTAGGTTTTCTATTGGGGAAAATATATATTTCAAGAGGAGCAATTAGAGAGATGAAAGACTTTGTTCCCAACAGAAGGAAACTTCAGTCGACAAGGCAACCACCCACCTACTCAAAGCAGTCAGGGTGTCGTCCCCCATGTCCATTCGTCTGTCTGTCCATGTCCGTGTCCCATCCTGTCCAGTCCAGTCCCATCCCATCCTGTGTCCCCCTGCACCAGGGTATCTCTGTGTAGTTTTGGTGCCTGTCCTGGAACTTGCTCTGTGGACCAGGCTGGCTTCCATCTCGCAGAGACCCACATGCCTCTGCCTCCGGAGTGCTGGAATTAAAGGCATGTGCGTGGCTTTTTTTTTTTTTTTAAGAGACTGGGTTTGACTATGTCTTGAACTCACAAGGTATTCAAATTTACAATCCCCCTGCCTCAAGGACCAGAATAGCTGTGATTACAAGCATCATCTAACACACCCAGTCCAAAACATTTTTAAACTTCTAGGACTTTGCAAAGGTGTCTTGTTTGTTTTTTGGTGTGTGTGTGTGTGTGTGTGTGTGTGTGTGTGTGTGTGTGTGTGTTTTGAGACAGGGTTTCTCTTTGTAATCACCCTGGCTGTCCTAGAAGTCACTCTGTAGACCAGACTGGCCTCCAATTCACAGATATCCACCTGTCTCTGCCTCCCAAGTGCTGGGATTAAAGGTGTGCGCCAGCACTGCCCAGCTTTCTCATTGTTTTAATACTGCAGTCCTTAGGCTCTCTACTAATTCCTGTCAATTGTATATGTACTAGGGAAATCAGCCTGCTGAAGGAGAGATACTTTGAGTCCTATGTTTGATTTGAAAAAAAAAAGTTTTATTTTTATTTATGTGTATGTGTGTCTTGGGAATATGTCATGTGTGTGTGTGGCCATGGAAACCAGAAGAAGGCATCTGACACCCTGGATCTGGAGTTACAGGCAGATGTTAATCCAAAGATGGGAGGAGAAAGACCACTAACCCAAGTCATAATGACCAAATCAATTAAAGCAAGCAATTAACTAAAACAACCTTTTTTATTCATGTACACAGGCTGCCTGCCTTTAATGTGGGGTTTGAGAGGTCAGCATTGGATGTGAGGAAGACAAGGCTTTTATAGCTCAGGGGTAGGAGGTTTCCAAATGGGAGGTTTGGCAGGCAAAATAGATGGGGTTACAGGAGCAGAGCATAGGCATGGCAAGTTAGTCCCTCCTGAAACAAAGACGTGGGTGCAAGATGAGCAAAACAGGGTAGTCATAATCATAAGAGGGTAGTCACATAACAAAGGTAGGGCTCAAGGTGGTTATAAACTTTTTGAAACAAAGATGTTTTATTTTTAAAAACGGTGGGAAGAAGTCATACCATACAACAGAGCCTAAGTGGGAAGTTTATTTAGGGGAGGGGAGAGAAGGAGAAGAGAAGAGATGGAGACCAGTCCCTGGGGATGAGAGTGAAGGAAGAGAAAGAGACAGGAGGTGGGCAAGGTACGCCTTTTATAAGGAAACATGGGGAATGCGCACAGGGGGTGCTCTTAGTGGCTGCAGCTGAGGAGATATCCTATCAGGACCCTAAGGGCAGGCCAGTAGAGATGCCTAAATGCTAAAATTCCCCCTTTTGTTTATTATAAAGAGGTAAGGAGTTAGAAAGGGGTAGCAGGTGAGGTAGGGATGAGGGTGCCATGTTCTCTAGACTGCTCCCTGCTGACTTGGGGGGCATCAGTCATCTTTGGAGGACCTGAGAGAGCTGGGGTGCTGGCTAGGGTAGCTGACTGTTTCACTTCACTGTCCAGGCTCTGTGGAACTATCTGGTTCTGCTTGGATCTGGCAAGATGCTGTTCTTGTTCAAGGTGGATCCAAGTTGACTCCCTGAAGCTCACAAGAAGTCATGATGAGGCTATAGCCAAAAATGGAGGAGAGGCACATGGTTACTATTAATAGTTACATGCACATACACACAGAATTTAACAGGAGTTAATAAGTGTTGCCTAAAGATCAGGCAACAGAACAAGCCACTAGATTAGACATAGAGGCCAGGCAGTGGTGGCACACACCTTTAATCCAAGCACTTGGGAGGCAGGCATCCAACTGGATCTCTGTGAGTTCAAAGCCACCTGGGTTACATGAGATTGACTCAGTCTAGAAGAGAAAACAGAGCCAGGCAGTGGTAGTTACCCTGAATGACAAGCACCTTATCCATAGAGCCATCCTGTAAACCCAAGGAACACATTATCTTCACCAATCAGAGAGTATAGACTGACCTTGAAGGACTTTCCACTGGGACGATCCAAAGCTACTGCTCTACTGTAACCAATCAATTATTTTCTTTGCTCCTTCTTCCAGTGGGTAAAGACGTAAATGGTTTACTGTCTGTCCCTGCCCATCTGATGAATCACCAAGTGTTCAGAAAAACTAATTTTTTTTTTTCCGAGACAGGGTTTCTCTGTGGAACAGTCCTGGCTGTCCTGGAACTCACTCCATAGACCAAACTGGCCTTGAACTCACAGAGATCCACCTGCCTCTGCCTCCCAAGTGCTGGGATTAAAGGTGTGTGCCACCACTGCCTGGCTCAGAAAAATTAATATTCTAATGTGCCCCATTTTATCTTTTAACATACCTTTGCTTTTGCTTCATCACTCAAATTAATATAGTGAAATAACCCCCAAATTATAACTTAGAATTATTTATGAAAGCGTTTTAATCTCATGGCAGTCTTAAGCAGGTCTGCTGATTGCACTGGGAATCACTGCTTGAGTAGCTTCCTGTTTTGATTAATGAATACATTCATTCTCTTCAAGAAAATTAAAAATTGCCCATTACACTTTACAGTTATGCTTATGAAGTTGTTTCACACAATCACAACAGCAATAGTTTAATGTGGAGGCTGCTCTTATCAAAATTATTGTCTCTATCATTTATTGTGAGCAAAACTATCTTTTTGTGATGTTTATGTTGATGGGCATCAATTCTGACTGGGTGATGAAATAGCTATTGCCTAGTTTTTTTTTCCCTTAAGAGCTTTGCCGTTTAAAGTTTAATAAATCATGCATCTCAAGATTTCATCTTCTCGACTACTGAGGAACTGAAATAGCTATTTCTGAGCTTAAGGTTATGGTTATATCACGAACTTCATTCATAAAGTTCTACTTCAGTAACTAATCTGTGCTCAAGGAAGAGATATTACTATTAGTAATAACTTATTTTAGTGTAGGCAAAATAAATTAGCCTTACTGGTTGTAGTTCAGGGTGACTTTTGTGGTTAGTAATCTCTTGAGACAGACACAAACTTTGTTGCTACAAATTATATACCTCTTGCACAAAGGAAAAGTAACTTTTTCCTTCAGAACTATTTTTTTTAAAGATTTATTTATTGATTATGTATACAGTGTTCTGTCTGTATGTATGCCTGCAGGTCAGGAAAGGGTGCCAGATCTTGTTACAGAAGGCTGTGAGCCACCATGTGGGTGCTGGGAATTGAAGTCAGGACCTCTGGGAGAACAGCTAATGCTCTTAACCGCTGAGCCACCTCTCCAGCCCCAGAACTATTTCTTTTTATTAATTCATTTAACAAGTGCTCAGACTGCCTGCCCAATGATTGTACTATGAAGAAAGACTAAGGTATCACATGGTAGGTGGACTTTATTTAGTTGGAGGTCTATGAAGTTCTACAGATGTTTACAAGAGCATGTGAGGTTTAATTTGATAATTGGAGGATGAATGGTAGACTCAAGGGCCCAGAGCTTGGTGAAGAGTCAGACATTCCAGAACACTGTGTTCTGGGGTTCCTTATTGCACTGAATGGCTGATGCAGTTGAAAATGACAAAGTTGGAATGGAAAGGTTTTGGAAGCCTTGCTAACTTTTTGTTTTGTTTTTGTTTTTTGAGACAGGGTTTCTCTGTGTAGCTTTGTGCCTTTCCTGGAACTCACTCTGTAGCCTAGGCTGGCCTTGAACTCACAGAGATCCATCTGGCTCTGCCTCCCGAGAGCTGGAATTAAAGGCATGCACCACCACTGCCGGCTTTTTTTTTTTTAATTTGTATTTTTGGTGCTTGAGGTCCAAAAAATAGCATTGTCTATGCTCAGCAGTCACAGACTTACAGTTCCACCTTATTAACATGTTTTCCTTTTATTCCAAGGACAATGGAAACATTAGATCATCATTATCCTTTAAGGTGTACAGATAAACAAAACATAAATAGAGATAGGACATTAATAGTATAGCTCATGAGTAAATTTTTCAAAGTATTTTCATTCTTGAGTGGACAAGAAGGGTCAGTAGGTAAAGGTGTTTTCTACTAAGTCTGTGACCTGAGTTCCACCTCCATTTCCCAGAGGGTGACAGAATAATTTTTCAAGTTGTTCTCTGATCTCCAAATGCCCACTATGGCATGCTTATGCCATTTCTCTAATAAATGAATATTTTCACTTGGCTTGGTAGCACACACCTTTACAAACAACACTTGGGAGTAAGGGACAGATGGGTCTCTGAGCTTCAGGCTAGCCGTGGGTTACTTAGTGAGATTCTGATTAAAAATAATATTTTTTATTCATCCAAGTATTTCTTTTAGACTTTAAAAATAAAACAAACGACATACCATTAATTCATAGCTTAAGTAAGGAACTAAGTTGTAAAGAAACCAAAATAAATCGGAAACACAGTAGATAGGTAACTTTTGGAAACCTTGCTCAATAAACAAGGCTAGCCTAGCCAGTGGGAGTCTGTGATTGAGGGCAGACACTTAGAACATAGTGGCTTCTTAGAGCTTGAGTTGTCTCTAGATACTGGTTTCTTCAAGTACACGGAGGAGGTGAGCAACTGTGTGAGCTTCGTCATGTACAGCATAGAGGAAAAGTAGCACTCCAAGAACAAGATACTGTTGACTTCTCCTTAGAAATTTGCGAGGACGGTCACCTCTCCTGCAAAGGCATCTCCTGAAAAGGGTTTTTTTTTACAGGACCGCTCCAGGGTTTGAATGGGGATGCGGTCTCGGCAGCGCGTTCCCTCCCGACCGCTAGGGGGCGAGCGTCGGAGAGCCTCTCTTCCCGCGCGTACCGGCCGCTCTCGGCGTCGCGGACTGGGAGACGGTACTTCCTGTCGGGCTTGCCGGGAGTGGCGCGCCGCTTGTGCGGGTGCTTCTTGCCGAGGCTGTGGGGCTCTGTCAGCCATGGAACACTCGGGCCCCGGCGAAGGTGGGTTCGGCGCGGCCGGCGGGGGTGGTGGGCCGTGCTGGGGAGCCGGAGCGCCGCGCTGACGGCCCGTCTTGTCTTCCCTTTCTTGTACAGCGCCGGGCGCAGACGCGGCGGGACCCGACCCTCAGCTGGCGGTCACCATGGGCTTCACAGGTTTCGGTGAGTGCCTGCCCCGGGCGGAGCCCAGCCCGAGTTTGCAGAGGGATTAAGCACTGAAGGTTTAGGAGAGCTGTCACATTTGAGCGGCGCCTTCTGCCGGGCCGAATCCCAATTGCTTCGGTCCCATTTAGTTTGTTGAGACCAGTTCAGATGACACTTGGAAACCTTGACTGAAAGGGATTACTGGTTGGGACCCAGTCTGAGAAGGACATGTGTTGGTGGCCATTAACTAATATTTTGGTGGCTACTTAGTTCCTTTCTTTTGGTTAGTCTTTCTCGTTCAGAATCCTCACTTCAGCCTTTCGGTAAACCCTAGATACGACAAGTTATTAGGTAATTAAAAAAGAAGTCTCAAAAGAGGAGTAATCATCTGCTAAAAACATTAGTGGTAGCAAAAATCGAGTGGAAATTGTTTTGTAATTTCTTTTGGGAACAAATATCCCGCTAATGTATCTAGTTCTCATTCATTCATTCACCCATCTATTTACTATCTTCTAGGACTCTTAAGTAATCAGTCCTTAAAAGGGTAGTTACAGTATTATTTGTTTTTCTTTCTGATTTCTTATTTTTTAAGCGATAAATGGATATATATATATATATATATATATAATATGTTTGTGAGTGGGTGTTATAAATGTATATATTTATATATATTTGTAAGTGGGTGTTTTGCCTGGATATATCTGTGCACCACATGCCTGCAGTGCCCCTGGAGGCCAGAAGAGGGCACTGAACCTTATGGGACTAGAGTTCTAGATGGTTGTAGCCACCATGTGGGTACTGGGAACCAAAGCCATGTTCTCTGCCAGAGCAGCTCTTAACTGCTCTTAACTGCTGAGCCATCTCTCCAGTCCTTCCCTCCCCCTCCCTCCCTCCCTCCCTCCCTCTGTCTCTTTCTGCCTCTCCTTCTTTCGTTCGTTTTTGTATTTTTGCTTTTTTTTTGAGACAGGGTTTCTCTGTGTAACAGTCGTAGCTGTCCTGGAACTCACTCTGTAGACCAGGCTGGCCTTGAACTCAGAGATCCTCCTGCCTCTGCCTCCAAAGTGCTGAGAATAAAGGGGTGCACCATCACCACCTGGCATCCAGTCGCTATTTCTAACTTGAGAAAGTTTAGAGATTTACAAAGAAAAAGAAGTCAAGGCTTCAGAATTAATTTGGTTTTTTTCAGTGTTCCTGTTGCATATTAAAAATTAATATCATACTTATGAGTAAACATTGTTCTTTAACACAATATTTTGCTGATTTTCATGTGTTATATTCTTCCAAAACATGATTTTATATTTGATAGTATCAGGAATCAGCAGGACTTCCTGTATGCTAAACCCGTGTTTTGCTACTGAGCTACACTGCTAGCCCCAAACTTGATTTATTTTAGCTTTCAGAAAGTACACTACACAGTAAAATTTGTATCACTTAAAATTTTTCCCTACGTAATTTCTGGTTTTATTTATTTTTTGTTTGTTGAGGGAGAGTCTGACTATGTATCCCTGGGTGGTCTGAAATTTTAGATTCTCTCACCTCAGCCTCTCACATGCTGGCATGTAGCCATATCCCTCTTTTGAATTTTATCAGTAATGCTAAAAGAATATTTGTGAATGTGTGCATATAATGTGTGTGTGTGTGTGTGAATGTATGTGTAGGACTTGTGTCCAGGCATGTGGATGCCAGAGGTTGACATCTAACATCTTCATCTGTTGTTTTCTGCTTATATTTTTGTGGCAGTGTCTATGACTGGGCCTGGCTAGCCAGGAGCTCCAGGGATCTTCCACTTGGGGTTCTGAACACGGCCTCACGCTTGAGTGTCAAGCACTGACTGACTCATTTCCCCAAATCTTAACATTTTCATGACTAACACTATTTTTGTAATCTCCTGGAAAACAGTGTTCTGTCCCCTCTTGAGGGGATCAGACCCAGTTCTACAGCTTCACCTCTCGTATTTAGTGTCTTTGAGAACTTCATACTCTATTTAAGATAATGTACTAATATTACCAGTTGTGTATGCATAATATATATATATATACATGTATATATGTATATATATATATATGTATTTATTTAACTGCTCCTGTAACAAATTGCTGCACATTTAGCACTTTAAAACAACACAAAGAATTGTGGGTTTAGTCTAATGGAGAGCCCTTGACTAGTAAGCATAGGGCTCTAGGTTCTACCCCCAGATCCAATACATAAAACAACCCACAGATTTATTTTCTGGTAGCTTTTTAAGTTGCCAGTTCATGTGAACTGTGTTGATTTCCCTGTTGTAGATATCAAGGCTGAAATCAGTTGTAAACATGCATATACTGTAATCTGGTAGCTTTGTTAAGGAAGGAAGTTGCTTTTATGAACAATACAGTTCTTGGTAATAGGATTGAAGTATCTTTGCTTTCTGGCTATCTCTTTCTTATCTCATTAGAATATCTTAATTCTCATGTTGCTGCCTTTAAATCAGCGGTTCCCAGCCTGTGGGTTGCAATCCCTTTGTGGGGTGAACGGCCCTTTCACAGGTATTGCATATCTGATATCCTGCATATCAGATATTTACATTATAACTCATAACAGTAGCAAAATTACATTTATGAAGTAGCAATGAAATAATTTTATGGGTGGGGTCACCACAACATGAGGAACTGTTTTAAAGGGTTGAGGTTAGGAAGGTTGAGAACCATTGCTTTAAGTCAACTCTAGTGCCTTGATTCCTTCTCAGACTTTGAATCTTTTGGGTTCTGACATACCCGTTCTTAAGGGCTTCTTTGAATAGAATGGGCTAACTAGGATCGTCTTTCTTTTTATTTTCTTAATTTTTCATACATTTGTTTGAGAGATGGTCTTATTTATCCCAGGCTCACCTTAAACTTGCTGCACAGATAGGGGTGATCTTGAACTTCTGATCCCTTTGACTCCATATTCTGTGAGATTACAGGCATGTGTATGCAGTACTATGGCTCAAACCCTGGGCCTTGTGGTACCAGACAAGCACTGTTGTATTGCATCCCCAAGTCAGATAGTTTTTCTGTCAAAGTATGGGTATTTCTTATTATCCCTGACAGATTAATGTTGCTTCAAGATATAGGCATCAAGCTAAATCAGGTGCGGATGAGAAAGTTGGCTGGTTAATGTTCAATAGGTTCACAGTCCTAATTTAAGAATCTAAAATTTGTACTTTTTGAGCATTATGTTAGTTCTCAAAACTTCTGGATTTTGGCTTACTGTGTTGGTGGATATCTGTAATAATCCCAACACTTGGGAGGCTGAGACA